ACAGCTCACCATATTAATATGGCTTTACTTTTTGTACCTCGTTTTTATACTTTTCTGCAGGATTGTTAAGACTAAGATAAAGCAAGACCTATATAACAAGAAATATATCTTTTGTATCTGATAAAGTCTGTCAAGGCCCCTCAGGATTTATCCTGTTAGCTTGTACCGCAGTTTGTAGATCCTTTGTCAGTGTCAGCCAGTGGATGGGTCCTGTTAAAGGCCTGTTGTAAAGACTACTTGGTGTTCTTTGGTTTCAAAAGGGAAACATAGATTGATTACCTTAGGAAAATCAAAGTGCAGGCTCTACTGTAAAATGAATTGCTATCTCTTCACTTAGGAAGATGAAGGGGCAGGGAAATAGCTCAGTAGAATAAGTGCTTGCCTGGCAAGCGCAGGGTCCTGAGTTCAATCCCTGGAACCACCAAAAAAAAAAATAAAAAATAAAAATAAATAAATAAATAAATAAATAAATAAATAAAATAAAGGAAGATGAAAGCTTAGTACAAACATCATTATTTAAATAGGTGATACATGTGGCTTAAAATACTTCAGATGGGCTGAGTGTGGTGGCACATGCCTGTAATCCCAACTATTTAGGAAGCAGAGGAGGTTGACAAGTTTAAGGTCAGCCTGGGCAATGCATCAAGACCTTGTCTTCTAAAATTTAGGAATAAAAAGAGCGGGGGATATCATCTTACTCATTATCCCTTGATTCAAATCCTAGTATGCGGCCAAAATCAGTACCAGGCAACACAAATTGTGTATGATACAGCAAAGCAAGTCTTCACAGTTTCATCTGTGCTATATTATGTTGATGCCATGTTCCTTTGATTTGATATGATAAAAATGGTACTTCTAACATTTTTTCCCCCAGACATTCATTACAGCACACTTAACTATGAGAAAAGTGTCATAGAGTTTCTACAGGTGAGACACTCTGCAAAATATTTGACCATTTTCCCTCAAAGTTACCAAAAACAAGGACAGTCTGAGGATCACTGTCAAGAAGAGTAAGGAGATAATGGCATCTAAATGTATGACGTGCCTGAATGGGGTCCTGGAATAGTAAAAGGAAATCTGAACAAATAAACTGTGGACTTTAGTTAACAATGATGTATTAATTCTGGTATATTAATTGTAGCATAAAGTACTATACTAATATGTGTGTGATGTGTATAGGATCTTTTCTGTCTTACTTTTTCAATTTTTATGTAAATCTAAAACTGTTGTAAAAAACAAAGTTAAAATTTTTTTTTTTAATACTTAATATCCTTTGAGAGACTTTTTAGGCCAATGTAAGCACAGCAAATATGTATTCTGAGTACTTTTTTCCCCTCAAAGGAAATGTAAATGTTCACATACTATAAGAAATATCCTTTTTCACTTAAAATATTTGTATATTGTTCCATATAAGCACATGTATTCATTAGTACTGTATATGTAGATTTAATGGTGTAGAGCAGTAGTGGTGAACCTGTAGTACATGTGGTAATTGTTTTTCTTTTAAGAAAAAATATGTTAATGCAGAGTTTTTTCTAAACTGAAACCTCAGGATTCAGATTTAATCATAGTGTTGACACTGATCGGTAAGTAGGGTTTGGATTCCGTGTAGCACTTGGTCTCTAAAAGGTTCGGTATCATTGGTGTAGATGAACCACAGCTTAACTAGCTACTGTTGAATAGCTAGGTTGTTTTCATTCTTTGACTTCATTATATTAGTTTGTAACTGTGACATCTTGAACAGAGTAGGGGTTAGAGAGTAACTATTCAAGAAGCAGGGATGGGACTTTTTTTTGCCATTATTTAATTAGCATTTTCATTATTATTATTATTATTATTATTATTTTCTTTTTTGCAGAACCGGGGATTGAACTCAGGTCTTTGTACTTGCTAGGGAGGCGCTTATTTCACTGAGCCATCTCCCCGGCTCCTACTTATTATTTTTAAATACTCCACTCATACCCAGATGAGCATTTGAGGCATGTAGTCCCCTATGTAGTTATATAAACTCTGTGGTATTTGTTGAATATCTTTGAAGAATCTAAGAGCAGGTGATGCAGTGGCATGTTTGGAGACAGACTAAGTCTAGTTCACTGTGGACTGGGGAGGTAGACTGCAAATGTGATTATGTAGTTTAATGTGTTAACACTGCAGCACAGCCTGTTGCAAACTCAGAGAAGGGAGTAGCACAAGTCTGCTTTTCCTCCACATTTGATTTTTGTGGAGCTCAGAAAAGGGAGATGGAAGTTATTGGTTGGCTCTGTTGAGTAGTCTTGTGTTATCAAGAGAAGAGAATATCCTCAGTTTTTCCTGTTCATAGTAGGTAGAGTCAGAGACTGTAGGCTCATAGGGCAAAGCAAGTCAACCTGTACTCTTAAATTGGCCTTTCAGAAAACGACAGATTGTTTGGGTGTACTCAAGAGCGTGATTTCCTTATGCTTTAGTATATATATGGGAAAAGCATTATGTACTGTGGTATGATAATGCTGTTGTTTGCAGTTGTGCAAGTGTTGTTCATTATCAAGGGGAGGATGAAGTATTCTGCTTTTGTCTCATTTCATGACAGACATCACCTTTCTGTCCTGTCCTGTCCTGTCATGTCATGTCTTGACCTGTCCTTTGGTTCTAGGGCTTGAACTCAGGACTGGTATACTGAGCTACATCATCAGCCTTTTTCATTTATTGAAGTTTGAACCATCATTTTGCTGAGTTGCCTGGGCTGGGCTTGGACTTGCCTTCGGTCTCAGCCTCCATAATACTGTGATTGGAGGTGTATGTTACCGTACCCGATTTGGCCTTTTGTTTTTCTCCCCTTATCTAGCCTTAAGGCCTGCCTTTATGTAATTACATTTATTTAATTGCAAAATGACTATATTATTGTATAGTCCCATAAGATACTCAAAGACTGTCTCTTGACTTTAGTCCCACTCAACTCAAAAAAGGAGCCATTAAAGGTATATGTTTGTGTTAACACAGATATTGTCATAAAATGCACTATTTGATTTGTTCATTCAACAGGATGTTTTAAAGGGCATTCCAAGTCACAACCTGTTAATAGACATTTTCTTTTATGGGTAGAACAAAATTAATTCAAGTTTTCTGCTAGAGTTGTCTATCCAGGTTGTTAACTTTTTTGTTACAGTGGTGCAGTGAAACCCTTTTGTACATTACTTTTATGTTCTAAGAATATATCTAGGTTATCTTGAAATGGACTTGCTGCTTTTGAGGTTTAATGGCTTTTATTTTTTTTCAGATATTACTGACATGTTAAATGAAAGAAAAGTTATAAATTTAAAGAGAGAGCATAATACTTATATTGGGGGAAAAGTTCAAATATGTCATATATCTAGTCTGTTAATCAGACTGATAATAGTTGAAAACTTTGGAGGAAACACTAGGCTTGACAATGATGATGTAGTTTTTATAAGAATGTATTAACATATTACATAAGTTGAAGATAACAATAAAAAGTTCTGAATAATGTATATTTTATGCTGGTTGCATTTAACTACGTGTTTGTCATTTAAAAAACCGAGTTATGTGGAGTGGGTTGTGAGTTACCAGAGAGAGAATGATCTTGTATTTTTAGTGTTTATTTGTTGTTGAACAAAAGCAATATGGAATATTTGAAAAAGTAGACTTAGGTTAGGATAGATGAAGCCGTACTCTTTGGCCACAGTTATCAAGAATATTTAACCATCTTAGGTTTTGTAGACATACCTTACTGTAGTTTTTTGCTTGTTTGGGTTACATGGTAGTACAAGTAACTAAATACTTAGAATTTTACTATTGGCCTTAACATTCTTAATACAAAATACAGTACTTAAATATTTCTAGTCCTGTGCAAGTGTAATAGTTGCTGAAAGGCTATTATTGTTCCAAAGAATAGCAGATTTTTGATTATAACTTTTTTTTCTTAAAGAGATGTGAAAGCTGGAAATATTCTCCTTGGAGAAGATGGCTCAGTGCAGATTGCAGGTAATGATGAGTTTTTTGAATTTAGTAGAACTACATTACTTAGCTTTTGTGTTTAATCAGTCGGCATTCTCTTCTGTGTTGATACATCCCTGCTTACTCTCCCGATAGCTTCCTACTCCTCACTGCTGCTCTACTGTTGGTAGACACTTTTCTTCCATTGCTCGTTATTCTCTAGTTATTCACTCCTCACCCTCATTAGGCTCTTCTGCTGTGGTAGTGTTCTGTGCTTTCCTTTAAAGGAGAAGTAATCAAGAACCCTTACCATGCCTAAGAATAAATATACTGTAGAGAGTTAATAGACAGCTATTTTTGTCATGAGAGAAGTGAAGTATTTGTCAGTTAGGAAGAGCTGTCTGAGCAGTAGATGTGCACTTGTGACTGTTCAGAGCTAAGGCATAGAGTTAGAGGCCAAGGCCTGCCTTAAGTTACACTGATGGAACAGTCCTCCTGTGGCCAGTCCCTGACTGCTGGAACAACGAAGTGCCCTGCTGAAGGAAGATAAATTACCCAAGCCTTAAATTATTTCAACATTTGGAGGGTAATTTAGGCAAACATATTCATGTCTTTGAGGTAAGGAAACATTTTAACCAAACCACATAAAGCTCCAAGATGAATTTGATTCCTTGAAAATTAGCTATCTCTGTTCATCAAAAGAGAAATTAAATAGCTTATCACTGTGGCAAAATGGCAAGCCACAGAGTAACTATTTACAGCATGAATAGATACCAGCGGGTTTAAATGTAGAATGTACAAAGAACTCATTAAGGGAAAAAGACATACAATAAAAGTGGATAGAAGACTGGCATAGAAGACATTGTATGAACACAGACATAATGTATTAAATAAATAAATGACAATAAATGACATTAGGATAATACTCTCAATTAAGTGGCCTTGCAGAAACATGTGGCAGTATAAAATGTTGGTGTAGTTGTAAAGCAAGGGAGAAAAACCTCATTCAGATGGTGGGAGTATAAAATGGTACAACTGTTAAAGTTGAAGATGTGAATACAGTAACACTGTGGCTCCTGTGGGTATAGCCTAGAGAAACTGAACATGATGCATGTTACAGCAATCAGAGTTCTAATGAATTTGAAGCAATCCTGAGTATTTAAATACATTGTGGTTAACTATGTAATGATGATAATAAATAGAACTACAGCCACATAAAAAGCATTAATAAGTCGTAAAATTATAGGGTGATAGATTGGATGTGGGTAACCTTGTCCAGAATGTGTCTATAGCCCATGATCTGTACAAACCAGGAATTCAAGAACATTTTTTTTTTTTTTCTTTCGGAACCAGGGATTGAACTCAGGCCCTTGCGCTTGCCAGGCAAGTGCTTATTCTACTGAGCTATCTCCCTGGCTCCTCCACCCCCTTTTTTTTGGGGGGGGGGATGAGCTTGCTGTGTATCTCAGGCTGGCCTCAATTTTATGGTGATCTGGGATTATAGGCATGAACCACCACGCCTGGCTCAGGAAAAATCTTTCTTTCTTCCTCTCACCCATGGCCAGTCTTTTTGCCAACACTTTCTCTTTAGTTAATTTTTACAATTAAAAAACATTTTATTGTGATAAAATGTAGCACCAAATTTACTTTCTTTCTTTTTTCTTTTTTTTTTTTTTTTTGTACTTGGGACCTAGTGCTTTGCTAGGCAGGTACTTGTGCTGCTGAGCTATATCCCCAGTGCAAAATTTACTATTTTAATCATTTTTCAGTGTATAGTTCTGTGGTGTCAAGTACATGTGTATTGTGCAACCTACACCACCTTTATACGTAACATTGCCGCTACTACTCTGCACCTATTAAAATTTCTCATTTCTCCCTATCTGCCCCAGAAACCACCATTTTACTTTCTGCCTCTATACATTTAACTACCTAAGTACATTGTAAGTGGAATCATTCAGTGTTCTTTTGTAATTGGATCATTTTATTTAGCATATTGTTTCAGGGGACATGCATGCTGTAGCATGTGTTAGGATTTCACTAATTTTTAGGGCTGGATAGTGATTCCATTATGTGTATATACCACATTTTGTTTATTTGTCCATCACTGGATGTTTAGGTTGTTTGTAGTTTTTGTCTATTGTCAGCAGAACAAGTGCGTTTATGTGCATCTGCTGGAGTCCATGCTTACGTGTCTTCTGGGTATATATAAGGGTATATATAATAGAATTGCTGGATCGTGTGATAATTCTGTGTTTGAGTTTTTGGGGAACTGCCATATTATTTTATATAGTAGCTGGACCATTTTACATTTCTGCCAATGCACAGGGGGCTTGTTTCTTCACATCCTAGTCACACTAGTAGTACTTTAAAATTCATAATCATTTTAGTGAGTATGAAGTAGTATTGATCTCATCATGGTTTGATTGGTAATTGCCTAATGTTGAGTGATATTGAGTGTTTTCACATATCTATTTATGAGCCATTTATTTTCTTTGATGAGATGTCAAGTCCTTTTACAATTTTTAATTGGATTTTGTTTCTGTTGAATTGTAGGAATTCTTGAATGTATTGGACTGATCCCTATCACACATATAGTTTATATATATTTTCTCCCAAATTGTGGGTTGTTTTTCACTTGGTTAATAGTGTTTTTAAACTTTTAAAAAATTTTTGATGAAGTAGAATTTGACTTTTTCTTTTTTTACCTGGGATTTAGTCTCATGTCTAAGAAATTACCAAAACCAGTATCATGAAGCATTTCCTTTTTTTTTTTTTTTAAATTATTTATTTATTTTTATTTATTACATTTATTTATTGTGTGTGTGTGTGGCCAGCTCAGCCCACCAGGGGGCGGGGCTGGCTGGCATGTGGTGCTGGGGGATTGAACCGCAGTCCCTGTGCTTTGCCAAGCTTGTTTCAAGTAGGTGCTTTAGACCACTGAGCCATCTCTCCAGCCCCTCCTATTTTTTTTAAATTAAAACATTGTTGTAGATACATATTTATGGTAGATAATGATTACATTAATTGTGAGTTGGTATAGGTACAGAACGCTTTTATTATAAGGACATGTTTAGTTTTAGAGGTTATGCTATTTTGATACCTTATCGTAACATTTATTATGGTGTATTGTAAATGCCTGTGTCTACCCTTTGTGTAATGTATTACACAATGCCCTGTCTGTCTGTCTGTCTGTCTCTGTCTGTCTGTCTGTCTCTCTGTTTCTCACTATCTTTACTTTATTTGAAGGCAGGGTCTTGTTGTGCAGTTCAGGCTGGCCTTGAGCTCACTTTCTAGCTCAGGCAGGTCTTGAATTCGTAATGATCCTCCAAACCTCAGCCTCCTGAGTGCTAGGATTGCAGTTGTATGCCACCACACCTGGCTTACCATATCTCTTTTGATTATTATATTTTATCATGTCATCTTCTAGGTGTCAGAGTCCCATTTTATACTTCATTTAAACTGTGTTAACAAAGGAGCTAAACTGTTTTCACATTTAGTTACTCCTCTTTAGTTGACAATTTAAAGCAGACAAATGGTTCCTTTACTGTTTGATTTCTGTTGTGGTTAGATTGGTCATGTTTTTCTCTGTTGTATTTTTGGAAATTAATATTTTTTTATCTTATCTATCTATGTATTTATTTATTTATGGGTCTACAGGATCTCACTGTACAGATCAGATTCATAGTGATCTTCCTGTTTTCAGCCTCCCAAGTGCTGGGATTACAGGTGCTCCATTACAACCAGTATCGCTGTCTCAGGGAGCTATGGGGGTGGGGCTGACACAGCACACCATTGCACTTCCCTTAGTCTGCTGAGCTATCTGGCCAGTGTTGGAAATTATTTAAAGAGAATAGTTTGGTTAAGTGGATATTCAAGTCTTCAAGGTTGAAAATCCTACTTACGAAGGAGCAGTGATATAGCTGAAGATCTAAACATTCTGAATTATTAAATGTTAGATTTAACATTCTGGGTGTTTCTGGGTATTTTAAAGCTGCTTGGAGGTTTTTAGTAGATTAAAAAATTAAAACCGTATAATTAAATCTCAAGATATATTGAACATACTTTGGTTAGTCTTAATTATATTTAACTTAATTATGGCATAGGTTTTTTTCCATTAGTAGTAAAAATAATAGTTACCAAGTGCTTGGTATATTATAGAGACTATTCTATGTATGATTCATTTAATCCTTAAAAATGGTATTATTTGGGTAGGTATCTTTTTTTTTTTTTTTTTTTTTTTGTTTGTTTTTTGTGGTACTGGGGATTGAACTCATGACCCTGTGCTTGCCAGGCTGGGTAGGTATCATTATTACCCACTTTTTACAGATGAAGAAACTGTATAGCAAGGATAGAAAATAGCTGCTTGAATTCAGCTAGCAAGTGATAGAGTTGAATGGACTTGAATGGACTTTTAAATATTTATTTTTTTAGTGGTTTTTACAAATGGAACATCGTAAAGTTCAAGTAATACTTTTTTAAAACATATTTTGTCCCTGGAAAGCGTAAGGGCCTGAGTTCAATCCCTGGTTCCGCAACAAAACAAAACAAAACAAAACAAAACAAAACAAAACAAAACAAAACAAAACAAAACACATTTTGTATAGACTTGCTGTTTTACATAATAAAAAGCAATTGATTGCTGTAGGATGAGTGAAATCATAGATTTCTGAATCTAGAATTTTAAAATAGTACTAAAATTATCTTTTATACTGAGTCTTTTTTTTTTTTTTTTTTTTTTGGCAGAACCGGGGATTGAACTCAGGCCCTTGCGTTTGCTAGGCAAGCGTTTATTCTACTGAGCTCTTTCCCCAGCCCCTATACTGAGTCTTTATAGACGCATTTTTTATACCACAGAATATTCTGAACTATTCATAAAATAAGATAAAGTGTACTAAAATTGTTGGCTAAGGGCTGGGGAGATAGCTCAGTAGAGTAAGTGCTTGCCTGGCAAGTGCAAGGTCCTGAGTCCAATCCACAGTACTGCAAAAAAAAAAAAAAAAAAAAAAAAAAAACAAAAACAACAAAACCAAAAAACCCAAACCAACCAAAGAAAAATTATTGGTTAAAGTATATAGAAGTCTCTATTTTAAGGTTCTTGATTAGAAACTATCACCTAACAAAATGGGAAATTTTGAAATACACTGGCAATCCACAGAATCAAAGAAAGACTAACATTAAGCCTCAGGATGAGCAAGAGCCTAGTTGTGCCAATGACCTTCAGTATGCTCCTGTTAGGATGACTCAGGTGTAGTGACCCTTACTTTTCTTATTTTTCCATTTAAGCTTTAGATTTCCAGGAGACTATGATTGGTCTAGCTTGGATTAATGTGTCTAACCCTGGCTCAAATCAGCTATACCCTGGGGTCAAGATCACAGAACACAGGTACAAAACTAGAGCTATTGTTAGAGAAGGAGAAATCCTGGTGTGATGGGCAGTCCTTCTGAGTGACTTGGCTTAAGTAATTTGAGGTAGAATTTGTGTAGAGAAAATACTGAGGCTTGAAGAGGTAATCTGAGTTCGTCAGTGTCACATTGCCATAAGGAGGCTCGGGATATGATTAGGGTTAGTAATTGTAATTGATTTGGTGACACCTTCTTGGGGACTTTTTGAATGACAAGCTAAAAAGGATGAATTTTGTTTTGTAGCATTGTTTAAGCTGAGAACATCAGTTCAAAGTGATAATCGAAAGAAAGTGAAAGATGAAAGGGAAGATGAGCATGAGAGTGTTACAGAGAATAGACTGCAGCAAGAGACAGCCTGTGAACTGATGCATGGGCGTGGAGAGTGGAGTAGGGAGCCCTTAAGCTGTGCCTTCATTTAGTTACAGTTCTACCAAAATGAAGAGTAAATGTCACCTTGTGTTCTTATTTATGTATAAGATGGTGGCTATCTTCCTGTCCTTTGATATAGTTACTGTCTTTTTAATACCATGTTTTTGTATTGTATTTCAGACTTTGGGGTTAGTGCTTTTTTAGCAACTGGTGGTGATATTACCCGAAATAAAGTGAGAAAGACCTTTGTTGGCACGCCTTGCTGGATGGCACCTGAGGTTATGGAACAGGTACTGTGATTTTTGTCTTTTTAAAATGGTTTCGGGTTTTGTTACAAAACGGAAAACACTTAGTAGTGTTTGTTTTTGTTGGGTATACCAGTTTGTGTTTGGGAAATACATTTGCCTGTGTCTGTTTCTTGTTTAATACTTTAAAAAATAAAACAAAAAAATATACTCCAGAACTTAACAGACAGGGTCTCGCTCTCCAGCCCAGACTGACATTGAATTCTCTGTAATCTTTTTGCCTCAGCCTCCCAAGTGATGGGATTATAGGTGTGTGCCACCAGGCCCAGCCTTTAAAAAAAGTTCTTATATGAACTAAGCGATCTAACCATTTTACATGTAGCTTTCACTGCTACATTTCTTTTCTTTCTTTTATTTTCACTGCTATGCTTCTTTTTTTTCCTTTTTATTTATTTATTTATTTATTTATTTATGGAACCAGGGATTGAATTCAGGCCTCTGCGCTTGCCTGGCGCTTGCTTATTCCACTGAGCCATCTCCCCGGCCCTCACTGCTATATTTCTTAAAGGACTGGTTGTTTGTACCTGCCCATTCATTTCCAAAGTGCACATCAAATAACTGCAGCCTGTTGTCACTATTCCCATCACTTTAAGGAAATCGTTAATTCTCAGATCCAATGCTCTTTCTGATTACTTAGCTTATTTGTCCACTTGGTGGGATTTGAAATTTGGGAGTATTTCAACAGTATTCACTTCTTTAGCTTTCTTACTCTAGTTTCATTTTTCTCCTGAGTGCCAGGCCCTTTCTCTTTTTTTCCGACTGTCCATCTGCTCCTAAATGACATTTTCTCTCAGAACCATGTTCTAGGGCTCTTCTTGTCTCTGACTGCATGTACTCCCTAGATACTGTGATCTATGCCTCTGTTTATTCCTGACCTCTAAATTATGTGTAATCCAGTCTTGCCTTGTTTCTAGGTAGTTGTTTCCAGATCTATATAGATACTTTGTATAAATGTATTATATCAAACTCAGTATGTTAAGAACTAAATTCATGTTTTACTTTGCTTTAATCATTTGTATTTAACGGAAGTCTTACACAGAGTAATAGGATATCTGAGCACACAACATCTGATACTGTACAGATGAGACTGGCAGCAGTTTATTAGTCATAGGCTGGGAGAAGACTGTGTATGCTACACAGGGCTATGTGATGTTGCACTCAGGAACAGAGTAAACAGACATGGGCTAGGGAAGAAGCACTTTATAGTACTGTGAGGAACGCCCCTGGTTTTTTTTTTTTTTTGTATTTTTTTTTTTTTTTTAGGGAAGGGCCTACAGGGTGTTCAGGGTCTCACTACTAGATTGGACTCATAGTGATCTGCCTGTTTACAGCTTCCCAAGAGCTGGGATTATAGGCACGTGCCACCATGCCCATTCTCAGTTGCAGTCTCAGCGCTCCCTAGGGGTGGGACTGGTGGGCACGGGGATTGAACTTTGGGCCCCTGTGCCTGCTTGTAGGCGCTTTCATCCCTGAGCTATTTGGCTGGCCCTAAATAGAACTAATTTTTTTTTTTTTTGGTGGTACCAGGGATTGAACTCAGGACGTTGTGCTTGCCAGGCAAGCGCTTATTCTACTGAGCTATCTCCCTGGGTCCCCCAGGTTTCTTTAGACAGATGTGATTGACTGTAAGGAAGTGGAAACCTCCTATTCAGGGATAAATAAGAAGTGTACCTAGTGTGATTGAAAAAAGAGGGTTGCTGAGCTAGGGAGCATTATCTGCTGTAGCAGAGGGAAAGGTGTATTGGTTAGCTATTAGTTGCTGTGACTAAAGTACCTGGCAAAAACCATTTAAAGGTGCAAGCATTTATTTTATTATTATATCACTTACTCATTTACCTATTTATTTATTTGGTACAGGGTCTTGCCATGTGGCTTGTACTTGTAGTAATTCTCTTTTCTCAGCCTCCCCAGCGCTGGGACCACAGCTTTGTGTCACCATGCCTGGTTTCGATGGCTAGCATGGCATGCCGTGCTGGGCATCCAACCTGGGTCCTTGTGCTTGCCAGCCAGGCAGTTAGATCTCTGAGCTCTCTTCCCAGCTGCAGGGGTTTACTTTTGTTCACGGTTTCAGAAGTTGTAGTCTGTGGTCAGCCGATTTCAGCATAGAAACACCATGGCAGGAGGACATGGTTTTGAAAAGCTTCCCTTCATGCATCTGGGAGGGACTACAATAGGAAAAGAGCCAGCGAAGAACTAGGGATCAGATGTGGTTTGCAAGGTCACACCCAAAGTTTTCTTTATGAATTTCAGGGTTATCTCAAGCAAGTCAAGTTGGCAGTAAGATTAACATCACAGGAGGGGAACTTGCCTTTGGGTCATTAAGAGGCCTCCCTGTTTCACTGGATGACAGAGTACTGTATAATATTAAGTCTACTTTATGTCTTATATCAAAAACTCCTGAAACCTATTTCTTCTCTTTTGCCTAAGATAGAAAATGAAAATGTGTACCCATATAATATGCTGATGAGAATGTAGCAGGAAATTTGGCAACATACACCAACAGATTAAAAACTGTTCATACCTTTTGTAACATTTTTTAATATATAAACAATGACAAAATACTACTATAATATTTGGAAAACAAGAGATGTAGGATAGCCAGGCAATGCTGTAATCCCAGCACCTGGAAAGCTGAAGCAGAAGGTTTTCTGTGAGTTTGAGGTCATCCTGAACTACCTAGTGAGGGTTTTTTTTTTTTTTTTTGGCAGAATCAGGGATTGAACTCGGGCCCTTGTGCTTGCCAGGGAAGCACTTATTCTACTGAGCCATCTCTCCGGCCCTACCTAGTGAGTTTAAGGCTAGCCTAAACTCTGAATTACATAGAGAAGCCTTGTTTCAGAAAAAAAAGAAAAACTTTTGAAACTAAAGACTTAGGATCACTATAAAACATTTTTGTTTTAGTTCTTGTATATTTATTAAAATAGATTATGTACTTGTTATAATTATGTGAAATTTATTTTTTTTCCTAAATGATTTGTTTATTTATTTGGTATAGGGTCTCACTATGCAGCTTGGACTCATAGTGATCCTCTTGTTTTTAGCCTCCCCAATTCTGGAATTGCAGGCCTATGCTGCCACGTCTGGACTAGGTTGCTGGTTCAGTGTGCCTAGGGGCAGGGCCAGTGTGGTATCCAGTACCAGGGATCGAGCCCCAGTCCTTGTGTTTGCCTCCGCAGGCACTTAGTCCACTGAGCTATCTTGCTGGCCCCTCTTAAGGGTTTTGTTACAAATTGTTTTTCATATTTTCACATAGAACTAGTTAAACATTGCTTTTAATTGACCATATACTCTTTTTTTTTAAATCTTCAATATTTGAGATTTTATTGGTTGTGTTGAGGATCAGTACACATGATTCACTTTGTACACAATTCTTAACACACATACCAAAAAAAGCCACATACTGTTTTTCAGTTGTTTCAGTGACTTTCCAGCTTCAAATTTAGAGGCAAATTCTCTGTAAGAGGATTAAGTACCAGTATCTACAAATGCTGACGAAGTGTTACTTAAGTCCCACCAGTTCACAATTTTGTATCACATACACTACATATTCAAATTTTTGATCTTTCACAGCACATTAACAAAATGAGGCAAACCGGACTACCACTACCAAAGATGTTATAGAGTGCACACGATTCTGACAGGGCAACAATTAGAATGTAGTTTTCTTTAGGAAACAACTCTACCAAAAATCATGAGAATAGAAGTTATTTAAAGTATCCAAGACATATTAAATGCAGGACTGTAATTCCAAATTGCCATTTAGTATGCTTTGTATTGCAGGATATAAAACTAACCCTCACCTATGGAATGTTAAGCTGACTCCCAAGAGTGTTAAGCGGACACCCAAGAGAGTCAAAGCCTGCCATAATTCAATATCCCACTATTTCTGGTTGTACCAAAAAATAAACAACCAGAGAATGATTTTACCCTAAAAAAAATCATTTACACTTAAAAAATGCAATGAGGTGGGATTCCCTCCTTTTTAAAAATGTTTCTAGAGCTACTAAAAAACTTGCATTTACAAAATAGTTGATAAAACTATTCTTCTGGATTGTACAAGAAGGGAGACAGGGAGCACTGATAAGACATGGTGTGTGATTAATCAGACTGGGCTTCTTTTTCTTCTGCTTCATCAGAAACTGCACTCTCCTCATTTTTAGTTTCTCCATTTTCCGCAGGTAAATCTTTCTTGGTTTCTTGATTAGCCACTTCAGCCTGTTTTCCCTTGGCTCCACTTTTCCCTTATTGCTTGCACTTTTTTGTCCGAAGATTTATCCTTTCCTGCTGCCGTTTTTGGCTTCGTTTCCACTTTAGCTGGAACAGGTTTAGCCGACAATCTCGCCGATCACCTCTTGGGCTCCTCCTTCACCGCCCCTTCTGCCGAGCTGACCTTCCTCTTGGGGATCTTGGCGGCACTTGGGGCGCGCGTGCGGAGGCTGCAGGTCGAGGCGGACTAGAGCCTCGCCAAGATAGGCAGCTCGACCGCTGCCGTTCCTCCTGCCGCCAGAGCTGCTGGAACCCCAACCATATACTCTTTTAATACACTAAGGTTAACAATTTGTTTTTTATGAGTATTTGAATTGCCTTTTTTTTTTTGGCCTCTCTTACCAACTGTATTTAGCTTTTCCTACTTTACTTTTTTTGATTTAAACTTATGTACATTATTTATTTTTTAGTTTTATTTTTTGAGACAGTCTTGCTCAAGCATACATTAAACTAATTATTCTGCTTAGCCTTTCAAGTGCGGGGATTATAGCATGTGCTGTTACATGTGAGTTTCATTGTTCTTGACCACTACCAGAAGCTAGTTTTTAAATGTGCTTATAGAATGGCAATCATCACAATGTACTCTTTGTTTTTTGCAGGTCCGAGGTTATGATTTTAAAGCTGATATTTGGAGTTTTGGAATCACTGCAATTGAACTGGCCACAGGGGCAGCTCCTTATCATAAGTATCCACCAATGAAGGTAAGACATTCAGAGTATATATCCTAGTTCCTTGATTTTTTGACTACTCTTAGTACCTCACAAGTGGAATCATACAGTGTTTATCTTTGTGACTGTCTTATTTAGCATAATGTCCTCAGGTTGCATCCAAGTTATAGAATGATGCAGATTTTTCACTATTCCTCTTTTTATATTACAAAGGCAAGTGATATTGGAGGAAAACCTCAGTTGTAGGGCACTTGCCTCACATGCCTAAAGTCCTTGATTTGATCCTAGCATTGTCAAAAATTATTATTTTTTATGGTGTCAACTAAAATAATTTGTTCTAAATCAGTGATCCCACTGTCCTACAGAACACTAGAATTGTTTCCTATGTAACTATATTTTGATAAATGTTGTTCACCTTCAATTCCCATTGCCACCTAGTCTGATGACACCTAGTCTGTTCTCTTCCTCTTTGAGATCAACATTTTCAGCTGCTCTATATGAGTGAGAACATGCAGTATTTGTCTTTCTGTTCTGGCTTATTTCACTTAGCATTGTGCTCCAGTTCCATCCATGCTGCTGCAAATGACAGAATTTTTTTTTTTTTTTTTGAGGTCAAGTAATTTTCCATTGTGTATATGAACACATTTTTTTTAATCCATTTATCCATTGATGGACACTTAGATTGATTACATATCTTGGTTATTGTGGATTCTAGGGAAACAAACATGGGAGCGCAAGTTAAGTTTTATTTTTTTTGCAAGTAACTTTTGTAGATGAATTTTGTTTCCTTTGTATATGCACCCAGAAGCGGGCTAGCTAGATCACATGCTCTGATCTTTTGCTCCATAATGGCTGTACTAGTTACTTTTCTGTGGGTAGGATAAGACTTTCCCTTTCCTGTGTTTTTATCAACATTTGTTCTTACCATTTTGTTTGTAGTCATTTAAAGTGGAGTGAGAAGGGCTGGGGAGATGGCTCAGTGGAATAAGTGCTTCCCTGGCAAGCTGAAGGGCCTGAGTTCAATCCCCGGTTCCTCCAAAAAAAAAAAAAAAAAAAAAAAAAAAAAAGTGGAGTGAGATTGTATTAGTCAGGGATTTATTTATTTATATTTTAGGGAAGGGTTTACAGGGTGTTCAGGGTCTCACTACCAGATTGGACCCTTAGTGATCTACTTGTTTACAGCCTCCCAAGAGCTGGGATCATAGGCATGTGCCACCATGCCCGGTCTGAATTTTTCCCACAGCACTTCCCAGGGGTGGGGCCAGCACGGCAGGCCTGGGGATCGAACTCCTGGCCCTTGTGCCTGCTTGCAGGCCATTTAATCTGCTGAGCTATTTGGCTAGCCCTATTAGGGTTTTACTAGAGGAGCAGATATAATACAAGGAACAGATATAACACAAGATGTACCAGTCACATAGTCAGATGAGAAAGTGTGCAGAGTGTGTGAAGCTCCCTGCAGGGTTCTGTGCAAGTCTCTATCAGTGGGCCGTTGAGTCTGCAATGGAAGGCTGAAGAATCTACGACAGAACCTGCAGAGTGTGCGACAGAAAGGTAAAGGATCCAAGCCAGAGGCTGATGAGTCTGCGCTGGGAGCCAGAAGATGAAGTCCAAGCTAACTGTGAAGACTGAAGTTCCTCTAAGGAAGTGGAAAGCCAAATCTTTCCTCATCTTCTTTATATCCCCTTTTTGTGCTGAGTTACTCTGGGGCAGGGCCCCCAGAGCCCAGAGTGTATAAACTGAGGCTATCTAGCCAAGTTGATACAATGTTATCGACCACTACAGAGATGATACTTTATTGTGGCTTTAATTGCCATTTCTTTTGTGAAGTGTGGTATAGATCAGTGTGAAGACCCTGTGGGATCAGCCCTTTTTAATTTTTTAGTTTCTTAATCTTGAGAGACTCTCACTAAACTACGAAGTTGCCCAGGCTGGACTTAAACTTTTTGATCCTTCCTCAGCCTCCTAGGGTACGGATTGCTGATCTGCACTGCCACACCTGGCTTGTGTTAATAGTCTTTATTTCTGCTCTGATCTTTATTATTTCTTTTCTTGTCTTTCTTTTTTTATGGAACTGGGGATTGAACTTTGGCCCTTGTGCTTGCCAGCCAAGCACTTATTCTGAGCCATCTCCCTGACCCTATTATTTCTTTTCTTGTATTCATTTTGAGTTATTCTTTTGTATTCTTGAGTTCTATTATAGGATTATTTATTGAGGTGTTTCTACTGTTCAATATAAGCACTTAGTAGTGTAAACTTTTCCCTAATAGTGAACCCTCAAGTTAAGACCAGCCTGATACATGAACAACTTGTGTCATGACCGAAATTTTAGTTTTATCTTAGAACCACAAAGCCTTGAGTTATGACTGTATGTTGGCTGCTTGTGCCTTCAGATAGTTTCAGATATAGAATTAACCCTTAAAGCGTTCTGGAAGGAACATTGCAACATCATTTCTGTATGAGGTTAATTGAGAAATCCTGTGCCAGTGTCTCTCTAAGGATATGGAAATCTGCATGTAGATAGGAGAGAGATTTTGAAGGCTATGTAGAGGAACCTGAGCCTTCCATTTGACAGCTTGAGTTACAGCTAGCCTTTACAATGAATTGGATTTTTTTTTTTTAATTTTATTTGTGTGTGTGTGTGTGTGTGTGTGTGTGTGTGTGTGTGTGTGGCCAGCTCAGCCCACCAGGGGGTGGGGCTGGCTGGTATGTGGTACTGGGTCCCTGTGCTTTGCTAAGCTTGTTCTATGTAGATGCTTTAGACCACTGAGCCATCTCATCAGCCCCTAACAAATCTTTTTTTTGGCGGAACCAGGGATTGAACTCAGGCCGTTGCGCTTGCCAGGGAAGTGCTTATTCCACTGAGCCATCTCCCTGGCCCCATGAATGGGGTTCTTAAGTCAAGGGTACACTACACTGTTCTTGCTGTTATTTCATAGTTCTTGGTATGCTGTGATTCCAAGGAAATTTTGTAATTTCCTGTTGATTTTTTTTTTAAGAACTTGCCTAATTTCCCTGTGTCTGTAAACTTTTTAAAGTTTATCTTGATTTCTGTTTTTATTCCATTTTGTCCAAGAAGATACATGATAATGATTTCAGTTATGAATTTTCTTGAGACTTGTTTTGAGGCCTCTGGGTCCATCCTGGAGGGTCCTGAATATAAGTGAGGACTGAGGTCTGCAGCTTCTGGGAAATGTTCTCCATGATGCTGGAGGTCTGTCTGGTTTGCACAATTCCTATATTAATGACTGTGTCAGTGATTTTATTGGAATGAATCATTGATCTTCCTACAGAAGTGGGTGTGTTGGAGGCTTCCACTGTTTTTTGTATTGGAGCCTTTTATGTCTAATGCCATTTGTATTAGCAGCGTGCTATGACTTTGAGTGTATATAAGTGTTACATTTTTTTGTTGAAATGGTTTATCAGTATGTAGTAATTTTCTTTGTCCTTTTTTATAGGTTTGACTTTAAGACCATTTTATCTAAGTGTAGCTACTTCTGTTTACTTTTGGCTTCCATTTTTGCAGATTTTTTTTTTTCCATCTTTTTACTTTGTTTTTTTGCTGGTTTATCACTCACTGTTTTATTAAACAAATAGATAAAACACATGATATATAAATACATCAAAATTTACAAGATAGGCTTACAGTCGCTATCCACAGAGTTGGATGTGAAAGTGGAAAGGGTCTGTCTGCACACTGGAGACTGAAGGATTCAGACTAGGGTCTGGAGCTCACTGCAGTGTCTGGTGTAAGTCTGTATCAGGAAGCTGGTGGATCTGCACAGGAAGCCAGGAGATGATATCCAAGGTGGAGGGGAAGACTGGAGCTCTTCTGAAGAAACAGAAGCAAATTCATCTTTTCTCAGTATCCATTTATACTGTGCAGGTAATGAGCTGCCCTAGGGTGTGGAATTGCTGAGCCAATTTAGTTAGGCATCTCTTAACGAAGCTTTTTAAGTTGACACAGTCAACCAGCTATCACACTCCATCCTTTGTTGACAGCCAGTCGTTAGATAAAAAAGACAAGCTTATAATTATACCCAGCATATTTATGTCTACCCTGCATACAAACAGAAATGCACTAATTCTCTCCCCAGAACAGAAGGCAAATTTTCTGGTGATGCTTACTTTTAACATTTCTACAACCTGAATATTATAAGATAGATTGAATAATCCTTAAGAACCACTATTAGATCTATCAACATTATGTTACATTAAAAACATATTAGGAGAGAAATAGTACAATTGGAATCATTGTTTCTGTAGCTGATCATGGGGTCATAGCTGGTATTTAGAACTACCTTCTTCTACTACCCATTCATATTCCATCGGCCTTCAGCAAACATCTCAGCAGGTCTTAGTTGTTTCCCTGGTGGAGTGACCCATACCTTCATTCCTGAAGGCCCTGGACCATTTTCCACTCTGCCTAGATCAAGTTGTTGTAATTTCCTATCAACTTTATTTTTTTGGAGACAGGATTTTGCTGTGTTGTTCAGGCTAGTCTTGAACTCTTACATTGCCCAGGGTGGCTTTGAACTTGAAGCAGTCCTCCTGCCTCAGCCACCCAAGTACTGGAATTACAGACATGTGCTACCACATCCGGCTCCAATTGACTTGTCTTGTCTTGTGTTGTCTTATCTTGTCTGCCTACTTGCTTTCTTCTTTCTTTTCTTTTTTTCTTTCTTGGTACTATGGAGCCAATTCAGGTTCTTAACGCCTGTCACGCAAGCACTTTTGCCACTGAGCTAGCTCACCAGCTCTCCAATTGATGTTAATAACAGAGCAAAATAATACTAGGAGGTACCTTAATGGATCTTCTTCATTCCAAGTGTATTTTTCCTTTCATCCATTGTAGAGTAGTAGTCCAGTTTTCCCCTTGATAGTCTGGGTCAATCACTTCTGACACTATTGTGACTATTTTTAAGTTGTTTTCTCAGATGGATAATGACACCAAAATGACCAGATAGAAGTCTCAGCTTTCAGTTCAATACTGTTATTGTTGTGCTTCCTGGTGTAAGACTTACTTCCTTTGGAGC